GGAAATTATCATCTGTTATTCAAGCAGGATATGTTCACAGTAATTAAATAGTAATATTAATATTAAATGCAGTATCTATCTTATGAATTTAAAATAATTATATTTGTTTATTATTCTGTTTTACCTTGTACTAAGATTATCAATTTATTGTGTTTGTACTCGCCGATCGTTAACGAGCACATTTAAACATTTTACAAATTTGGAATTATCATTTACTTGTAAATTGTAATACATTACAAGGGAAATAATTTTACACGTCTGTTCTATTTTCTTTATTGGGGACTTAAATTTTTCTTCTTAACTATTACACTTCCATCTCTTCATACTTTCTACTTTTATGCTTTTGTTATTTTTTTATTATTGTAAGTGTATGTTAATATTATCTATGAAAATAGAAATTATTTCTTTAATTGAAAATTTATTCGCAATATTAATAAATAAAAATGTAAGTAATTTCACTAAAAAAATATAAAACTATTTTGATTCGTTTAATTGAAATATGTCTTTGAAGTATTTTAGTAATCGAATAAAATTTTGAAAGAAGAGGTAACAATAAAAATAAAATGCCAGCTTATAAGTATAATTAAAATAAAATAACAAATATACTCTTGTAATAACAATAATAGTTATGTCTTATGTAGAAAATAGTATATATCGTAAATGGTATTCTTGTGTATGGAAGATTAAATACCGGTTTTTCATTTATAAATTTTGGTTAAGAACTAGAATGTTACATTCACAGGACTTGTTTGGAATAACTGGAAGATTAATTTAAACTTTTTCTCCACCAAATAGCTTAAGAAAATTAATAACTTCAACAAAAATCATAAAAACCTACAGTAAATGAATACGAAATTAAAATAGATTAAGTTTGATAAAATACAAGATAATAATTTTAAATGTAATAATTATATGAGTAGGAACGTTAAAAATATAAATAACTAAAAACATTTTACAAAAAAAAAAACAAAATATTTTAACTTCCAAATTTGGTACATTAGTTTGACTTGTTCAGATACTAAGCAACTGTTTCGTGCTATAGATGGTTTTAATTACGAAGACATAATTGTTTTAAATAAACTAAAGAGATATACAGTATTTTGATAATTATACATTTTTGAGATCATTTTGAAAATAAATAAACAGAGGAACTGAAACTGAAGTGTAATTTATTATTAAGGTATTAATATATGTGCATTCCAAAAGAGAAATATCTAAATAAACCTCCGAAAACTGCTTCATATTATACGCTAGTCTTTAGAATATTTCGGATACTTATTTTACTTTATTGAATTTTTATTTAATTTTAATCATGTTGGATTTTATGAATATTTTAGGTTATTGGTTTATTACTATTATATTCCGTATGCTATTGGATTATTCATTTTCGAGGCGGATTTAGTTTAACTAAAGCTAAATTAATACTCAACTGGCATCCTCTGTTAATGACAAATGTTTTGATAAATGTATTTGCAAATGGTAAATTCTTATTCAAATATCATTATTTAAATTAAAATAAAAAAATTTTTTTAGTGTTTATTTATTAATTTATTACAAGAAACTGAAGATGCAACTGCATAATAATCATTAAAATATGTATATCTTCAATTTATTTAAATAGTCATTAATTTATTAAATTGTTTTTTGCTATTAGCTTTTGAGTAGTTTTGACCAATCATATTATCAATCATTATGGTTAATACATAATGCATTTTCAAAAATATAAAAAATGAATAATTTATAATTTTAAAAATAATTAATAATTGTATTTGAATTTTATTTAGAAATAATATACTCATAAAGTATGAGTTTTTAATCGTTTTCATCAGGACCAGTAGAGTAATAATTTGAAATCGTTTCTTCAATGAGTTAAACAATAACTATTACATTCAGTATGATATATAATATTTGTTCAATCCTTGTTAGTTATTAGTTATTTATTTTAAAATGGTCTTACAGTAATACCGCAGTTAATTTTACTTTAAAATTGTTTCGAATATCTTGACTCTTTAATAATTTAGACAATATCTATTCATGACAATGATTAGTTGAAATACATTAATTTTTTTAATATCTCTAATCCAATTATTTTCAAATAACATAACGTTTAATTTAATATAACTCTAATTTTAAACATTTTTAGTCAATATTTAATGAAAACAATGTTTAAAATTATTTATGACATAAACGTATTTATTTTTATGGTCAAAAGTTGCTTTTATTTTTAACGGTCCCCATTTTGAAATTATTAAACGAACTAAACTCTAAAATATTTGATGGTCATTTGTTTAGAGCGAGATAATTAATTATCGACTAACAATAGGTATACGTTGCAAAATAAATTGAAATATGATTTTTAAAATATAAATAGATAAATGATTTAGGTGTATAAGATCTAATTTTCGTAATTTTATCAAATAAAAATAAATACATTTTTTTTTTATAGACCTGTACGCCACTTACAACAAATATGTATGTTTACTTGAACTTGGTATAAATTAAAGACACAAGAAATAATATTTTTAATTTACTTGACTTAAAGTGTAAGGACGCAATAGAAACAAGTAAGCAAGTATAAAATGTCGAAATAGGACGCAATTGATGCAATTGGATTAATTTATACGATCTAAGAACACAATATTACTTATAATTTTTTTTGATATTAATTTAAATAAAATAAAATGAATAATAGGAAACCATAATATATAAAACAAAAATAATCATAATATTTGAAATTAAAATGCTGATAAACTGACAAACGAAAATTATACAAGTATCGAAAAATATTTTTAATTTTCATCATATAATGAATAATAATGATTGATATTGTAATCTATCATGGCTAAGACAGTATCAATAGTCAATATTGCAACTTTTTTTTCTGTATAATCTATTATTCAAGTCACTATGATTTTTGTAAATTATCAACTGTGACATTGTGACAATCATGCATAAAGCATAAAAATATTATGAAACAAAATTATATACTAAGATATTAATATTTTGTTTGTGATTGCTTAAAAATTAACATTTAATATGGCTGTATTGAACCATCTCTTTCCTCATAAATATACTACTGGTCAGGTAACCACAGATAAATTAAGTTATAAACCCAAGTTTTGTTCCAAAAATAATTTGGAAGTATTTGAAGTAGTAACATTTATTATATTTCACTTATAATTTACCATCGAACGCATTAACTACTTACAATAAATCATTGCTGATAATCACTTCAATTATGTTCCATATGAGAAAAAAATACAATTTTTTATAATTTATAAATGTACAATAATTCATAAATAATATGGAGCATACTTAAATTACGATTCAAAATTATGAGAATTATTAGTTAACATTATTAGCACTTAAAAAATAATCACATTGTAATTTTTAAGGCTCAATTTTTCTAATAAACTTTTTATCATTTTTCTATCTAATATTAATAATTATACTATTTATTTTATTTTAGCTGTTTCTTATAATCGTTCATTTCGAAATACAAAACAAAATTTAAAAAAATCATCATGCAATTTTATAAAAAAAAAATAATGATGCCTTAGCAAGTATTCTTTGGTGTTTCAAACTTTGTGTCAGTGATTGTGACTGGTGGATAATGATTCTGTGTAAAAATTATTTTCTATGGCATATAATTTTATACCATAAATTTTAGTAGATAATATTTAAGTAATGTATATTTTCATGGATAGATAATGAGAAAAATTTCCAGTAGAAGGTATAGAGTTGTAAAATGTTTAGGTTTATTATTTATTTTTTTACGGTGGTTTAGTGGTTTATATAGTCACCAAATTAGAATTAAAGAGATTTTCTGCGCCAGAGTATCGGTCAGAATTATAAATTATTTGAAATTCGTTCATTGTATTCATATAATTTGATGACATTGAAAAGTAACATTATTTTACAATTTTTTCTAACTTTAAAACTGTTAATATTTATTTTAAGTTATAATAAAAATTTTTGATTTCATATTCTGAATAAAAATACATTTTGGACTTTTTCAATATATAAATGTTGAACTTTGAACAACTTATTATAATTTGGTACCTAGACATAAGTCTAGTCTTCAATTACTTAATCGAAATTCGTTTATATTGTGTTTAACATAGATTAATTTAGGAATTATTAATGATCTAGGGTTCAGGATTTAAATATTTGGTTAAAAATAAAAAAAAAATTTAACCGATTTTTGATTATTGAATTACTCATTTTTCTAAGGAATTTGTTATTTTTATAAGTGAAACCTATAAAATATGGAAACGATAGCGGTCAGATATTTTTTTCCATTTCATAACGGTTTCTATTCTTAACGGATAAAAATTTTTTTTTTAAATACTTCATCTATGTTACACAGGTTTTACTGTAATAATATCATAATTATAACTGATAACAAAATCTACGTATATAGGTCTATTTGCGTATTAAATTCTGATCGTACGCGTTGGCCTTGTCTCTTTGGTTACGTCAAACCAATTTCGGCCATCCTGTTAAAATATGGACTCATGACAATGTATTATAATAATAATTTTTAGTGGCTGCGAGTAGGAAAGTAAATGTAATAATACATTTATATTTAGCGCATAATATAGATACCATTAGCGTGTGTTCTATCGAAAAACGATAAAAATCTATAAAATTGCCGATGACTTTGTTCTGCAGTCGACATCGTTAGTTGATTTATACGTTTTATTATAAAATCAAGCTTATTATATCATTTTATACTCAATATTCAATTTGCGTACCAGTCTAAGTTTAACTTCACATGTATTTGATGTTATTATATCTACGATAAATACCAATTATTGAAATGAAAGCTCCGATGACGTTTATTTTGATCTCGTCAATAATTGTTCTGATATTGTACGTGGAGATTGCTCGTTGTTGCGTAAGTGATTTTTAATAGATTTTAATACGTCACTATTGATAAATCGCTATTGGAGACAGACTGCGGGAAGAGATAAAATGTAACTCCGAGGTAAAAAATGTCTACTTACGAGTATATATAGGTACACATTAATAAACGGATAAATTACGGTCGTAATGGTAAATTGCTTGAAGGACGTGGACGTGGATGATTGGTAGAAATTTTAGTAATCTTATTTATTTTTTCCCTTAGTTGGTTATTCGGGATTATTTATTCAAATAGAAACTTATCATCGATTCTTTTTAATTTTTATTGTTATTTTGTATAGGTTAGATGTGCAGATTATCATTTCATAAAACTTTTCGATAAAATTATTCATAAGTAGGTACAACATAATACTTGCACCAAGAATTCGATATTGTTTTTCTGATTTTATCTGTAAACTATTAATTATTGTTACATATTTTCAATTGATATTAGTTGTTTTGCGGCTAATATTTCTGTTCAAGGAGATTACTTAGCAGGCAAACATGGATTATATATTATTTAAAGAAATATCCAGACAGACACGCTCCATAGTTTATTAAGAAACTCCACTCGTTAGATTCACAGAATGTGAATACTAAGTAGTATCACTATAATATAATATATTCTGATATATATTAAATTTCTAAGGAATGATGAATCGTCACTTTTGAAAAAAATATTTCCATCGGAGCTTGCCATTAAAATCCAAATCGCTTAAAACTTTTAACTGTCACGACACTTTTTTTGATTGGTTTTTCCTTAAGTGTATGGTAACGGTAAGCGGTAATAGTCAGTGAAATACATCGAAGAAGATTAAAAAACTACACTCTCACAATCCTCGTTTGATTTGATTTATTGAATAATGCCAATCGATTTATATAGATTTGTGCACGCGTGCAGCATATTGTTGATCTACTTTATAAGTTCGATTTTTTCGGTTAGAAATATTAAAAAATGTACATACGTATATTTGATTTTATTTCTACTTATACGTTTTGAACATTTTATACATGTTTGAAGTTTTAAAAGATATATTTTAACGGGGCGTATTATGTATATTTTTCTTTACTTTGGTTTGAATTTAAGCTCTACGTACCTATATCATATGTGTTAAGAATTCTACAATTAGTATTTATAGATATTGTATCAATATTGTATAATCTCTTCCGGTTATATTTAATATGACTACGTGTAATAGAGTTATGCAATGTTTTTTGCTGGTTTACAATCGGGATTGATTGTATTGTATTGCTATTACTAAAATTCCGCCAGTATTTATACAGTACCGGACGTTGTAGGTCGTATAGGCGTATATTCATACTTTCAAGTTTTATAAAATTATAATTATAATTTACATATTGTACTATAATAAAATATTATATTATTATCATTATACGTTAATTTTTAATAATTTAATTTAATTTACTATTGTTGATAAAAATATATTTTGAATATAATATAATAATATAGTATAGGCATAAACTAAAGATTTATCTTATAATATTAAACAAATATTATTATAATAATAGTGGTATGGATAGATAATAAATATGGGAATTTACAAGGTTGTTATAATATTAATATTATTGAATTTAAAAGATTGAGCTTAATATTAAGAAAAATTTTTACTTCACTTTTGAGCTCAATAATGATATCTAATCCCTGTAGCCATTGTAGACGTAAAATTAGTAGTAATAATAACAAATTAAAAAAAAAAAATAATTATTCATAAAAAATTACATTTACTATGTATTTAATAAATAACATGTTAAAAATGTAATTAAATAAAAAAAAAAAATTAACGACCCGTATTTAATTAACGAAATATTGGTTATATTTGTTATAATTTTAATTTGTATAATGCTAAATCTCTTCTCTATACTTATACATTTTTTGGCTTATTACCGAAAATAAATCAATACATTTGTGTTTAATTTGCATTTATCATTTCATTTTGAAATCATGATATATTTTTATAGAAATGGATGAACTACATTTAAAACTTACTTAAATTAGTTGTGTAATTAACAGACAACTAAACACTGAAACTGTACGATATACGTTATAAGATTAGCTATCCCATAAATATTAATATTATAGTACGTATAATATATATGTACCTATAAAATGGAGACCTTTTTATTACAACTATCTCAATCCGTATTGTGCTTATCCATATATTATGCCTGTATTAAATTTTTTCACACTCAGTGACCGTGGAACAATAATAATAATATGTCGTCATGAAAATTTTACAGACTTAATAAATTAGCTTTTTTGTATTTCAGACATTTTATACTATTGTATAATTTTAATTGTTCCTAAAATTTTTTTACATGAATAAACCTATTCAATTTTGTATAGAATTTTATGAAAAAAATAATAAAAGAAAAAAATAAAATACAAATATATAAATTAAAATTAAAATAGATAAAAAATGTTTCTGATAAATATATATTTACTCCTCATAGACATAGTAATTTTGGTGACTGATGAAGGGGGATAGGTTCGCACTTGAATAAGTATTCTCCGCGAATATTTAAGTAGATATTAATTTTATTTATTAAGTTAATTTTTGATTTGTATAGAGTGGTTACGAGTTAGTAATCGATTATATCAGAAACTGCGACTCAAACAACATTATCGAATTGTCCGATAAATTTAGCGTCGTCTTGAAACCCAATTGCGAAGTACATTTCAACGGATGCATTACCTCACATGCTAACATCACCAGTACAATAGTAAATATTTATTATTTGATACTATGCCTAATACTTTTTATTTTTACGCAAAAAAGTATGTTTTTTCAATAATAATATTATTATTATATAGACACTTACACACTCATAAAATGTTACATAATACGTATACAATATCATAATATGTACATAGCACAGAAAATTCATGAAAACCAATAAAATAGCAAGTAAATATCCGATCATATGATTAGGTTTGATTTACAGAGTGATCTACCATTTTTTCATTCAATGATATATTTATACAAATTCTGATTTTTGAATTTTTTAAGCTTACCTAAAAATTATAATTTAAAATATTTAAATTTCATGTAAATTAATTTTTTTCAACTGAGAATCTCTTTTTTTACTTGTAAATTGTTTCTAAGAAATGCAAAACTTGGACATAAATTTTATGTTTAGAATAATAGTATGCTTATATTTATTCGCTTCAGATTTTTAATATTCCTAAATGTGCTATCGTCTTTACTTTTTCTGCGAAATATAATCGCAACACTTTAATTACACCGACGTTGAATTATTGTTGACGCGATTATACATAAAATATTATTATGTTGCACTTCATGTGATATGTGCGCTATCGGATACGTAATAATTTAAATTTTATACGGGTATCAACAAATTGAATTATAAAGGTTTTTAATGCCAACATCGCGTGTAGAGGATTCGTTTTCGTTTTGATAATATACAAATATACGTATGCCTTTGTACACAATTTAATCGTTACGCACCGTTCGTCGCGGGTAGGTGTATATTTCCTGTACCTAATCACGTATGGTAACTAACTACGTTTTTTCTTTTTTTTTTTTGATATTTAACTTTATCTATATATTATATTATTCACGTCATATAGTATACATTATTATTATTATTATGGTTCATATCGTTCACGAGGATTTGACATTTTCCGAAATCATGAGTCTCTCGGCTAAGAGATAAATAATAAGTAAGCACATATAGATACCTATTCTGTATAATAATAGTTCTACACAGTGATTTATGAGGGTCTGGTGTCATATAATAATGTATAGTCATGTATTATAATACCCATACCTATATTTTAATAATATCATCCAATTCCCAGATCGACTACACTGTCCAAAAGGACTTAACAAAGATGTCGGGCAAGAAGGACGGTTGCAAACAGCTAGACAATATTATCAAGTCGTCGAGTTTTATTGAAACGAGTTTGAATACACTAGGATTGCCGAAGGGCTGTCCCATTAATAAGGTTTGTTGCAGGGGCGTCATTTCAACTTTTTGTAAGGTATACTAACAACAAGACAGGCCAAAAAAATTTTCAGTAGGCCAATATATTATATATTTATATATTAAACTATAATTATTAAAAAAAAAAATGTCATTAATATAATGATTTAATATGATATCAATATTGTGTATACCTAATAATATCAAGTAATATCTACATTATTTTATTTAAAATTTAATTATTTATATTTTAGAAACTATAGAAAATAAAACAAATCCTGAAATTTTTAACTGAATATATGTAGCACTGAGTAATTTTCAATATTCTTGAATTCTATCTTCTATGATAAAAGAGGTTACAAAATGGTTGCATTTGTCTGTTAAAATTGAGTTATTTTCAAAATATGAAATAAACCTAAATTAAAAATTAAAAATGTACAACGATATCAATAATTATTCATTATAAATTTGTAAGAAATGTGAAATATGAAAATTATTCTAACTTTTTGGCTACATCATAGCAAGTGTCTTTAATATCGAGTGTTAGGTAGATAAACAATATTGAAATACGAGTTACAGTATTGTTATGGCATAGAATAAATCTAAATTATTTATAAATTATAATTTTATACACTATTCTGGAAAAAACATAGGTACCATTCTTGAGAGTTGAGACTAATAATTATGAATAAAAAAAAAGAATAATTTTTGCCCGGCACAGAAAAATTATAGTCAGGCCAAATTATGTCTTGATAAATTTTAGGTATTCATAAGTATACGCTGCATTACCCTAAATAACGCCCCTGGTTTGTTGCCATGTTGATCATAATTTTAATAAATTAAATTGTCTCGCGATTCGCGACGCAGGTCAAGATAACAATAGTTTAATGTGATTATTCATATTCTACATTATTGGTGTCTAATATTTGCCGTAAGCGGTGTATGAATTGTTATGGTTTTCAGGGAACGGTGTGCTTGGGAATTAAATCGATTAACGTGAGTAAGTATAAATTTCTAATGAACGTATTAGCCGGCCATCTCAAGGGAAAATCGCTAATGACCACTAACGCGGGCAAGTCTTGTATGGAGTTCTCGGCAAAATTGGTTAACTCTCTCGTAAAGGCTATCAGTGGTTAGACAGTATGATTGGTTGAAATCTATAAGCTTTATTATTTTACTATTTATTTTTTTAATAGAACATATTGACATATTGAGCACACATTTATTAATATCTTATGAACTATGTAATAATTTTTCATTTTTTTTTTTTTTAACTTTATTATAAACAAACAATCTGTACCTGCTGCACAATAATAGTATGAGCTAATTTACAACAATAGAAGAAAAACAATTTGATTGAAGAAGCCACCCATTAATAAAACTTTCGAAATGTAATAAATTAGATCTTAAAAACGTAACGTATTATTTGGTATCTATGTAATAAAAATAACATATAAAACAGAAAACATTTTTATGATAATACACCGTCTCCTGATTCTTTTCCTTGTTTTTACTTATTGTATGCATTGTATATTGTACAAATTATTTTATATAACAAAAAGAAAAACTTCCCAGCAATAAGACAAATTTTCCTTTTTTCTAAGAATATCCATAAATTAACGTGCATTTTATTCTATAGTAACATTATATATTTGAAAAATATTTAAATATATAATGCTTACCAATTGTTGTTGAAATGATTTTTTATTTATTTTTTTTTATTTCACAGTCGAAAATACAAATGTTTTAATGTAGGTACTCGTATAAATATTTTGAGGCTATAATTATTTATTTATTTTTTTAAAATTAAAATCAGATTTTAATTAAATTCAAATTAAAGTTTTTATGTAGCACATTCTACTTAGATTAACTAAATTTTAAGCATTTATTAGTACTTGAATAAATTGTTCAACATAAAGTATTTATATAATGCGTCATATTCATTTTTAGAAAAATATTATCTTTAAAATGATACAATGTGAATTATAAAATTAAAAAATGTCATACAATTTAAAAAAAAAAACTAGTTATATTTTTTGTAGAATTAAAAATACATGATATTATAAGTAAAAAAATTAAAATCAACTGAGATGAGTTTCTAAAATTATCACCTTGTATATATAAATAGGCACACATACATGATTAGATATCGATGAAACTTAGAATTATATTCATAAGTAATTTAATTTAATGTATCAGTTAAAATTAATGTTTTATTAACTAATTTAAAAATAAATAATATTATGCTGAATTTCATATCTTTGTTGTCACTTATCAACTACTCATGTAATCATGTGTAATAAAAACTGGCAGTGTAAACAATGTATTAGTGTAATAATAATAATAAAAAAAAAAATGAATGAATATTATAATTTTAACATTTATTTGAATTAAGAGGTAGATAGGCAAAATATAACTTTATAGAGGTAATTACTACTATTATGAAAAAAAAAAAAAACTATCATTAAAATATTAGCATGTTATAAAAAACCATTTGTCAAAAATTAAAATTAAATTTATAATGTATAGTTCGTTTTATCATAGTATATTAAGGACGAATGATTTTTAGAATAATAATAATGTGCTAATTACTGTATATGGTTATATGAAAAATGAGTTACATCGAAGTTTTTTGACAGAAACATACTTACTTGACATTATATTAATATATTATGTATATGTACCGCTAAAGCAATCACATTTAAAAGTTCTTATACCCTAAATCCAGAAACTGTTTCATTTCATGGTTCTGGAATACTTCTATGAATTTGGTAATTTAAAGTTTTTCATTTGAATACAAAACATGTTTTAATAATTCATACGATAACTTAGAATTTTTGTCAATCGTTCGTGTGTCTCAGTTTTGTAAAAGCGATTACATTTATAGCTACAATTTACACATTTAAAATTTAAATGATTTAACTCGTTCCTGTATGTGTTTAATAATAAACGTTGACTTTTTCCCATATTCTCGTAGCTGCAGTACTCGTAACTAATGAATATAATTTTATGAAAAATTAGTGGCTCAGAATGATGATATATTTACCAAGTATGAAATAAAATAAATGTACAGAATTATCTGTATGAATACAGTCAAATTGATGAACAACGAGATTGAATGCGAAAGACATTTTTCTTTACTGCCATGAGCTTTTTATGATATTCAGTAATGCTAGTACATTTTCTATTTATTTTTCAGTGTTTGAACTGTCATGTAGTTATTACCACAAAACTTTTAAAAATATATTATATTTAATAATTTTTACTTCTAAATATTCTGAAGCTATCTTTATGAGAACCTATGTTTTTAAATTTTATTTATTTTTGACACAATAAAATTAAAATATTTTTCGGGTGTATCAAACATTATATAAAATGGATAAAGGTTAAATATTGAAATACAGTTGTATTATGCTACTTAATATAGCAGTATATAGATGGATATCTGCGTATGGATATAATAATATTCCGGATAGGTAGATAACTTATGGACAAGATTATTGTGTTACTTTTATCAGGAGCATTTTTTTTTTCATAACACCACACAACGTACTTACCTTCACTGTAGTATATGTTTTTGGTTTTTTGTTTTTTCTTCTGTTATTAATGCATAAATAATTGTTTTTTTAGATTTTTGTCTCTTTGAGTTCTTTTAAAAATAAATTATTTACGCGCAGAATGTGTGTTAATATTTTAGTTACTGAAATTGTATTATTTCATGGTAAATATTATTATATAACGGTTGGCGAAGAAAGTTATATTGACGAAATATTAATATAAATGTGGTACGTGGAAGAAATATCTTTTAAAGAAAGTTTTTATCATTCTTAACCATTTTCGAATAGAAAAGTGGATGTACCCTTTAAAATACTGTCCGTTAATATAGTATCTATATATTATTAACCATAAACTGTAAGGTAAATTGGTGCATTCTTCATACTTATACATTTTTTAAAAGCAATATATAAATACCTATGCTCCATCCATTTCGCTTTCTGATCCGTTTCATAAAGTGGATAGACATTTTCATCCAGTTTATGAAACAGAACTTTATTTTTTACTCATTGTGTAATTACACAATGTGAAAAACTTGGGGACCTATCGATTTCGCCAATGTAGAATCAATTTTGCCAGTACAGATAGTCTAAAAACAACTTATCGATTCCGCCACCTACCAATTTATTTCTTAATCTGTCTACTTGTTTCTGTTATTATAATATATTAATATATCTACAAAATAATTCAACTATTACTAATCGTTTAAATATCAAAATTAAATAAATAATTAATATAATAAATACAATACAATATAATATATACAAAATAATACAAATTAAATTTAATAAGAATTTTTATCATGTGTATTGTATTATTTTTTTACAATATACAATAGTTAATAGAGTTGTAAAATATTATTTCTTATAATGTGATGATGCTAAACTAATAAATTGTGAACAATTATTTTTTTAGCTTTATCATCTTTTAATAAATTAACAAAAACAAGTACATTTTTCAGTTCTTTATAAAATAATAATTTTTGTTCAGGAAGATTATTTTTTCTTTGACGGGGTGGAATCGGTAGGTTTTTTTTAGACTACCTGTACTGGTGGAGTCGATAAACTTTATTCCCTAGTTTAAAAAAGTCTGGTGGAATCGATGAAACCCCGATAACTTATCATGAAATGGGCACGGATATTTAGTATTACGAAACTTGTTTCGTAATTTGTATATAAACGTGATGAAATAAATAATACGTGTATAACTTTTATTAATAGAAAAATGGGTTGTAATAATCTATATTAATTATGCCTAAAAAATTATTAGGTAAATTTATATTGTAAATCATTAATAAATAAATAAAAAAAAAAAAAAAAAAATGAAAAATAATAAAAATAATTTGAATATAGTATAGTACTATGGTAACGGTTATTTTATTTTAGATTTGGTTTAAAGCAGGTGTATTTTTTTGTTTTACATTTGTCCCAAAAGTTAAAACTATGTAAACCTTGGCCTCCTGTTGTTAAAGCCACTATTTTCATTAAACTTAACTCTTTTACTTTATTGATTTCTGATATTATGTTAGTAAAATTAGATGTAGATAGTTAAAGAGTTGAAGAATTGTACTATTCCTTAACTAATCCATGATTCCAAGACAACTTAGCTTATTTTGTTCTGTAACTATGGCAATGATATTAGCAGAGTCTAATGAACCTTTATTCATCTTAGAAACTGAAACTACAACATAATCTTCGGCTTTCAATTGAATAATTGTAAGGTTACTTATCTGTAAGCAATGGAACTCATATTATTTATATTAATAACAGTTTTAAATAAAATATTTAATATGTTTTACCTTAAACATTTTTTAGCAGATATTTATAAGCCTTTTAACTATTGTTGTCTTGATTTGATGATATTTACATCATTTTTGCATAAATAACAAACAATAATAATATTAGTAGAGTTGATTTCCACCGTTATTTTATTGCTCACAAATACTGCAATGTAAAACAATCATTTTAATCGTGTAATGTGAATCATTCGAGTCTTTGTTACACAATAGTAAATTTTATTTTGTTAATATTTTTTGTGATATTTTTTATGGTAATTTTGAAGTTATGAAAGCTATTTTTGGATCACTTTCAAATAAGGCGTTATGTGACATCTACTAATTAAGCTACGATGGGAACAATTTTTTTTTGAAATTGGACAAATTCTAAGCTATTGGACCATTTTTTTGAATTATTATAGACCATCAATGTTCTCAACATATTTTAGATATCTTGATTATTTTATTCTATACTAATTTAGCTTTGTGAATTTCTGGGTTGACCATATATTATAACATAGTCAGGCCACAGAGTTCTAAGTTCTGTAATTCGTGTTGACGAATTCTCGATTATTATCACTTTGCAAGATTTTTTGGAACCACGAAAGCGAGGAATAATATAAGTAAATTTCTCACTACTTCAGTCGCTCTTTTTGATTCCAGAGGTTGCAGAGACAAAATATTTGTATGGTGGGTCTTGATAATTTTATTTAATATCCATATAAATTTACAATCAAAATTTGATCAAAAATTCACTAGGTCGATTCGCCCCTTTACATTAAAGTTTTTACTTACTATGTGTTTAATGACAATTTTAAGGTTAACTGGTTTTCTACTGTTGCATAATATACAAGTTGTCAAGAAAGCTTCTATTGCTAGTCTTGAATTCACGTATTTTAATTAATTCCTCGTGAAGCTTCCCTTATATCCTGTTTGTATATGAAAATCTTTTAATTCATTATACACTTCTTCATAGTTCATATGGTACATAATACATAAAAAATAAAAAATTAAAAAAACTAAATTAATTTATCTTGTTTAAAATAAAAATTTAAAATGTTAATATTAGAAAATAAGCAGAGGTTCCTCGACATCTGCAGAAAAAAAATATATAATAAAAAACATAACTCATTCTAAAACTAATAACTTCATTATTTCACTCAGAATACAAAAAGCAACAATAGTTGAACAACAACTAACAAATAATTAAGCAAAATAATAAATTTGCTTACTTTACGAGTATTTATCATTTCTCAGTGAATTTTTTATTTTGCAGATTAAATAATGCTTTTTAGCTATGGAAAGAACATCAAACTTTTTTCCAAGAGATGATATTCTTACCTTGTTTTTTATTCCTAAATGTTTATAATTAATTTGAATTACAATTTTCAAATTAGAAGACGACAAATATTATTGTTTTAATTTTTTAGCGACCTGTTAGTTTTAGCATTGATTATGTGTTGAATTATTATCTCAATTTTACCCATGAAATAAGATTTTTTATCTAGTTAACAATGTAAAAAATTTCAAGATTTTTAAAATATTCAATCTTTTCATCAAACATTTAAATTTAAATTTAATATGTATAAAATAGTAATTTAGTTAATTGACCTAAGTACGTTCCATAAGTATTCAAGCAAAAATATGTACACTTAAATAAAATATTACACAATTTATCAATACCCATCGTAGATAGGTAATTACTATCAAAAATTACTATCGACTAATATCCATACGACTGTCGAAAATGCACAGTATATCGATAATAGGTATCACGATTTACATGTTACAACGACAAGTTGTTTTTATCAATAAAAATTACACTCGTAAGTCGTATTATTTGTTTCATCATGTGTATGCACAGATTACGATACAAATTCTGCACCACTAAATACCTATATATGTTTTCTGAAAAGTTATCCATATTGTATAATTACGTAATGTGTAAAAAATAAATCGCTGTTTCATGAACTGGATGAAAATTTCTATCTATTTTATAAACGGGTCAGAACTACTCAGAACGCGAAATGGATGGGATATATAATGTATATAAAGGTATATTCATGATTGTATATCGTATCAATTATTATAAATTACATTAAACACAAACATTAGCATTAAAATTTAAAAGTGATGATTATATTATTATATTTTATACATTTTGTCATAGTACGTAATATTAGTAGTCATCATAATTCATAATTATTGTATAAAATATTTGATAGGAGCTCGTAAAACATACTATTTACTTTTTAAATCGTAGGTGTTTATAATATAAACCGTTTTTTGTAGCCCGTAGGTACCTATTCCTGGTAACTCTTTGTACTGGTTCATCGATTTTATCGACAGTTGTTCGTTTCAGAAACTAAACAAGGCGATGATGCGATAATTACTAGCTGTTAGTAGTTCAACATAAATTTTGCAGCTGTGGATAGATAATATGATTATATTAATTTGTATTCGTTTGAAAATTGTACACTAATGATTAGTACTTAAAGCAATTATTGAAAGAATCGTAATTTTTATTATGTTTATTTAATAATCACAGTCGTTTGTAATTGAATAATTATTACAATATTACATAATTTAAAAATGTACCAAGTAGAAGTCTGGGGTTGTAATTAGGAGGTAAGTCTACTTTTTTTTAATTTAATTATTTCATCTCTCTTTGATAATTATTTGTTTTCATAATTTATAGTTTTTATTAATAATGTTAATAATTTTATTTTCAAAAAATTTTTTTTTTTTATTTTAAAATTTGACGTGTTCCGTAGTACATAATATTTACATATAATTAAAATTAAATTTAAAAAAAAAAAAAAATTAAACAATATTTTCAACCTTTATTGTAAATATTATCGTCAACATTAATATATCTAACCATTATTGTAATAATTATTGTACCATTGTGGAGTAAAACTGATGATGTACCTGCTTGTCTTATTTATTATTAAAAATAGGGTAGTTATTTAATTTTACAATTTTATACTAATTACTAGGCATTGTTATTTTTTAATTTAAACGTTTATCGATTTATGGAAACATTATTTATAGGTTCATAAACGTTATCTATGAGAAATCAAAGGTTTTCGAGCAATCGCCGTCTGGTTTCCTTTGTAGGCATTTAACACAGCACACCATTTCCATTATTTTACTTTTACTCGTACTCGAAATTTATCCCGCAAAAGTTTTGGAGTAGTTGATAACCATTTTTCAAACACAATCTGCTGTCTTCGCAAGCACGCACCATCTGTTTCGGTTTCAATACGTATATAGTATAATATTCGCGGATCATATCGCATAAGCCTGCACTTCAATAAACGTGTGGTGTATTTTTACGTCTGTATTTGAAAATTATTTTTTTAAATTAAAAACATTATTAAGGTTTTTATTATTATTACTTTTATTATTATATTCTATTCTATGTAATTTACTTAAAAAATTATTTTATAAATTGCCATGAATTATATACATATTTAGATATATATATTTTATTCATTATTGATATTATTTTGAACTTCCTTTCCTCTTTCTTCAGACATGATAAAATTCCTGTTATCTATAGTTTACCATGGCTGTTGTAAAATTGTTTTGTACTAAGTAATTTATTATAAGTATATTATATTTATAGATATTAGTTATAATTATGTTATAACTAGTAAATTTCTCTATAATAGTGTAATCCATGATACGATTGTCTATTATATAATAATCATTTATGGTTAGGTATTGATATCGTTTTTAACTATGATTTTACGATACTAAAAATGTATTAAAATTAAAAAAAAAAAAAAAAAAAAAAAACCAATATTATAACGTTGAAATGATTTAAAGTTGAGATGAAGAAAACATTATTGCATATTATTTTAAGATTAAATAATCTATTCAACTAGTACAATTGGATATTGAACTTATTGAATAAAAATATCTACAAGATAATGTTGCTGTTGAATAATGACTATAAATGTATAATTTTATTTATTTTTTATGTACTGAATGCTGAGGATTTTTACTACTGGTTTGGTATGATTGAAATAATTTGTGGAATAACTAAGTGTGGAAGTATAAAAACGATAGATTAAAATTCAAACTCAGATTTTATTCAAATTAATAAGATATTATGATCGATTTAATGACTATTATATTGATTTAATGAGTATGATATGTTTATCAGGATACACTGTAGTTTTACGTCGTTTATTGTGGGTAGAAGTTATACAGACACCTGTATTGTTGACCTTGAAATATCCTTTCACCTGTACAGAGCTGCGTTGAAATCATCAGTGCAGGTTTTTATGTTTGTGTATTGTTGCCTTGGTAGCGTGTATAATATGATAATATAATATAGCCAGACTATTGATACTACAGTTCTTATCTTATCAAACTGTAATGATATAATGTAATATTTTTTTCATTTTTTAAAGTGTTTTATATTTTTTTAATGTTTTTATTTATTATATTTCAGTTAAATGTTTCTTATTAATGTGCCTATATTAAAATCACTAGATACCGCCACTATAGTGCTTAGTTAGACTCGGTGATACTATATATTTTTACATAGTTCCGTTGTTTTCGTTATCGAATATTATGACCGTAAGTACCTACCTAAGATTTATTCATTACGTGCAAAATATATGTGGTAGTTTATAATAATAATAACATACCAGTACTTAGTAGGGCTGTAAACGATAGCTAGTAGCAGATAACCATGGACAGAAATCAAAATTAGTATTTATATTTAAAAATTTCTAGAGGTTGAATAATCAAAGTTTTATACGTATTATAAGTATTTCCCAAACTTTTATGCAGGACTTTTATCGGCAAATGTCTTGACGTACATATATTAGTTTTTATTATAATCGTACATATAGATCTAGCTATAATTTCGAGGTCATAGCAGTACAAAGTTTCATAATTTGTTTATTTATTTATTCCATGCGGTTTGGCAAGTTAACACTCATATGTATATACATATAATATATATATATATATATATATATGTTATGTTAGGCGAAAACACAATACAGATAAAGTGTTTATTTCACGATAAGTATATCACTGCCTTCCGGACCAAAGAAGAACAGTACGTAACAAATCTGCAGTCGCTATATTATGCGGGTACCTCTATAGGAAATAGACTATAATATCGTTTACGTTTCTTGCATAGTAAATAAATACATACATATGCACGGTCGCTATCGATTATAGTAGCATTTCAATGGTCCATGGCAAAGGCAAACTGACGATTTTTAATAGCTGTATAATAGCTATAAATATCATTATAAATAGGTACTTACAATTTCCAAAAAAATATTCAATATTTTTATTCTGTATTTTAGCGTAGTCAATGATAAAATGATCCAGACCATGCGAGCTTAAGCTTATCATACAATAGGTTCATTAATCGCAGCCCTTGAAATCAGAAATTGTGTGTATTACTCACTTTTTGTAGTATGAAAAGTAAAGTGTGTTATACGAAGTATTTTAAAAGTGTGATTCAAACAATATTTATTATGGTAAAATATTAAAGCGCTATTTAAAGTCATTGTTTTATTTTAATAGTAAACTAAAGGGTTATAAATTATAATATAAAAAATGATATAATTATTAATAAATAATAATTTATTAGAATAAATTAAATCAATTGTTTTGGAATTAATTATGTTAATTAATCAATAAAAATTTTATTTTATTCACAGTTATAAAATAATATATTTAAACATATTATTTAATTTTAACTATACGTTTTTTTATTAAATAAATACACTAACATTGGTACTGGTTTTCAGAGCATTGACTTTTTATTTAGATTAGGCCGATTTGGGGAACTATGTGTATAATACAAAAATTTGAATATTTTAGGGGTTGATTATTCGCAATGTCGAATGTACACATGTTACCGTAATTGAAAATTTGTTTTAAATGAAAAGAAAATAACTATACATAACGTAAAATTATTTTGGTTAGTCACTTTAGTCAAACCAAAATAATGTATAAAAACTCCAACGTAATGGCGGGCATAATGAATAATGAGTAATGACGATTAAGATTTTAGTCTCTACCACTGATTAAAATTGGACAATACTCAACAAAAGGCAATACAATTAAATTCGATTAAGATGTGTATTTGTTAGCAATTCAAAATGAGAGAATTAAGCAGTAATTGATTTTTAATTCTATTAAAAAAAGGTGAGAAAAATTAATGAAATATTTATCAGATTTGATATTGTAAAAAAAAAAGTCAATAAAATTACTATATTAATAATTATTTTTTAAGAATATATAAATTTAATTATTTAATTTTGTTTATCTATGAATGTTTTTCATACATATCAAAAAATATATATTTTGATGTTAAAATATCGGGGTATTTTTATCCGAAAACTTTGTTTTCGTTTACTATTACAATGTTTAAATATTATTTTTGTACCTATAGATAGCATAGGTAGGTACGCTACTTATAGTTAAAAATTGTTTAGTATTATTATTAGTATTTATAATCAATGGTATTATGATTTTTATAGGTAACAATAAAATAAAGTTTGTGCGATTTATAATTTGACATAATATTATATTCAATATATAAATTAATATTAATAATTACTATTTGTAATCAATGCTGATTGGTGAATATGGTGATTCTTATAATTGCTAAAAATTAGTTATTATAAATAGTGACAAAAATATCAAATATGTTATCAATATCTGTATTCGAGTATTTTAGTGTATAGATAGAATGCTAATTATTTAAGTAGTTTACTAAGATATTGTTAATACAAATTATGTGCGACTGCGTGATCAAAATTTTTAGAATATAATATTATTACTTAGTGAAAATTAGGACGCACTAAACATAATATTTATACACTAAATTCATACAAATACATAATATAATATTAATGTACTGAGTACCACTTCTAACTAGGTACGTAATTTAGGTTAATTGTAATGTAATATTGTAACATTATTGAGAGCGTTTTAAATTGAAATTTATGTATAGCGGATGGGTGATTTATATTTTGATTTAAAATTTATCTTTGATATTTATGATAGGGCTGTGTTATTGTATTTAAAAGGGTTGATATTTAATTGAAAATAATAATTATTTTTTGGCTAAATAAGTTCAATTTTACAGTTAAAATCGAATTTAATAAAATATCATACTGATTAAAAATTCACAATCTTTCAACAAATTTACATAATTTTATCATCTTTATATTAAAATTTTATAATCAGAATAGGGTTTAAAACTTCCCTGTGATCCAGTATACTAAGACCAAACATTTTCAACTTTGGAACTTATTTATAACAATTAATAATCTTTTGATATTATTACAGTATACAATTTACAATTTAAGTTAATTAGAAAACTTAAAATTGTATTTATATTTTTGTAACAGGCTGAAAGAGCAAAGTCGAAAATTGGACGTTGGGTTGATGAAACTATGAAGTAAGTGAATTTAAATAAAACCACACTATCAATTTATTTTTTCGACATTTCTTACATGTATATGTACTTTAATTCAATATTATATTGGGTAACTATTTAATGTATATATGTTACGAGTAAGATCTAAAAACTACTACCTGGTACCTGATAATCTACATAAGTACATATAAACCAGGTAACGTGAACCTTATTCATATGAACACTGTAATTGATATAATATATACATTATAAATATTTAAGGTGATCCAATTTATTTATTGACCAGTGTACTGTGAATAAAGTATTATACGTATTATCATAATCATAAATTCATTAACTGATTATGATGGTACATTACGACCTACTCACCAAAAAATTTAAATAGTTCAATTACATAAAAATTAATTTTAGTTAATTTAGTAGCAAAAATCAAATCACACTAATTCAAAATAAAAATAATTTATTTGATTACTTTTAAATTATCAATTATATATTTGAAAAATTTTACTATAAGTATTTAATTAAAATTTGAAAATTATTTGAGAATTATTTATTTGAATAATAATATATTAGAGTACGTGTGATATTTAGAATTTCAAAATTTTCTCCGTCTTTGCTGCATATTTATTTGATAAGTATTTACTTGTACATAAACATTTTTTTAAAATCTTGATCGTCAAAAAATAAATTATACCTGAACTATTTCATAAAAAGATTTTTTTTATGGCTGAAATTTCTAAAATTCTCATTATTGCATTCGTTTCATTAAAAAAAAAAAAATTATCTAGAATTGTTATTTGATCAAAGTTTACACTTTATCTAAAAAATCATAAACAATGTACAAAAAAGCCGAGTAATTTTCAAAGTAAAAATAATAATAATATTTTTACTTTTCCAGTTTTCCAATATATAAGTATGGTCAGTTTAAGTAGTGTTTTTCTTACTCTAATAATGTATATATTGTCCATCTTTTGCACTTTAACCGTAAAATTAACTTGTTTTTGCAATTAATATTAAAGTTTTTTTAACTTTTAAATAATTTTAGTTAGTTTATCCATATGTTTTAGATTGGTTATTTTAGAATTTTATGTTTGTGATATATTATTTTAAATGATTTGAATATGTTTGGATTTTATATTTACTTCGTACTTATTATGCAATTTTTTTTTTTTGCTTATTTTATTTTGTACTTGGTTAATACTAAATTTTTCTATTTGACTAATTTTCATTGGATTTTTTCTCCGCGGGATATTTTATATATGTTCGTTACTATTGATAGCAATTAATATTATAAAATGTACAATGTACACACATGACGTTTATAATGAGAAATGTTTAATGTATACATTTTAGATGTTTTCATAGAATGATAATTATAATCTAGAGGATGCTAATGATTCATAAATCACAGCTTCATTCCTAACCTAATCACGTCACATCTAAAACTTTTACCAATTTCAATATTTCTTTTATATATTAAATTTTTTATTTTTTTATTTATTTCTTTTATACAATAACAATAAATTACTGTGTGTTGTTAATAAATAAAATTGTGCAGTTATGAATATAAAAACTACTTTATACTTAATGATAATGTTACTGTATTGTTTTGTTGTAGAGGAAAATTTGATAACTTTGTTGGTTCGCGAAAGAAATCAAGCTCTAACACTACTACAAAAATAAACAATGGTAATTTAAACAATATAGAGTTTTATGTTCTTTTGGTGAAAAATTATTATGATAGAAACGTGATTACGATAAATGCAAATCGTTGATAAAAAATATAATAAGTAATTGATTGAAATGTGTGTTAATTGGATACGATTTATATTTAATTTATGACTTAAAATGCTATATACATGCTATAATGTATAAGTATATAAAATATTATACACTTTTAAACAGTTCAGTGCTGTTAATTTATTGTTCAAAAGATAATTTGTAATAGATGATAAAATAATTTTATCAAATATCAGTACCTATAATACTTGGTATGACGTACTTCTAAAAAGCATTCTTGAATAGATTATAAGGTACATAATATACTATGTGTAAATTATTATTATTATATTTGCTAAGTAATAAGTAATAATAATAATCCAATTAATAGTTATAATCGAAACATATTATGCATTATAATTTATTATATTAATATTCTTTATTGTTATATGATATAAATGCTTATAAATCAAATAGATATTAATATAATCATAGTTTTTATATTATAAATTACATTTTATAATTAAAACGTTTCAGATATACCTATAATGCCGGATGCAGATGAAAATATTGACGCGGACTTGTTATATTCAGTAAAACCCGCTGAGTTAAATTCGAGAGTGTAAAGATATAAAATTTTTTTTCATACTTTGGTTATATATTATTATTTAATTAACCGAAATTACTATTGTTTTAGAACTGAATCTGCGTATGAAGATGAAACGACGAGACCTCCGATTAATTTAGCTGACATCGATCTTGGATTATTATTCAGCAACATGACACGGAAACATCACTTGGAAAATGTACGAACAATATTAATATAACTAGAACGTTATATATTATACCCACGTGTGTCGTCTCCTCCATCTTACTAACGTATAACATATCAAATTTCACGTTCAGAAAAATCTGTTTTTCTCTAGTTTTAAATATTAAATTGAATTGAATTATTATTAAATTTAAAAGTTAAATTATTATTAAAGTACCACGAAAAGGTTTTTATTTAATATTTTAATTTTAAAATTGCATACTTTTTTTCAAATTTTCATAACTTGCTTCAAAATAAAATTATCCTACATACCTTCTGAGATGTCTTAGATAATACTTCGGTATATTTTAGAATTGGTCAATTTACTCTAATTTTAAAAACAATATGGTAAAACGGGTTCTTATTAACATTAAATTATCTATGTTATGTATTAGTTAGACGAAGTAACACAAGCTTTTCTTGTCACTTGTATGTGTTCGCTTGTACTGTTATTTATTTTAAAACTAAGTTATAAATAAAACGTAATTAAGAATTACTTCAACAACTAATTATAATAAATCATAAATAGTATCATAGGCACTTTATTATCCATGAACATTATATAATATATAGGTGCAATTATTTATTTTACTACTACAAAATAACTAAACTTTTACACATTTAATTTAATAAAGGAATATGAATTAGGTATCTTGATAAAATCTTGTTTTTCATTTAAAAGCATATCATACTTATTATTATTTTTACATATTTTGCACTAATATTACAAGAATATTAATAGGTGTATATTTATAATATTTTTGTGTATACGGTATACCTATTTATATACTCGTATTAAAAAAAAAGATAATATCTTTGGTAAATTAAAAAATAATTCATCTTGAAAATAGTTTAATTTTTAAATTGAAAATTGAATGGTTACTTAATTGCTAATAAATAAAAAAAAAGAACTTTATAAAAAAATTAAAAAAAAACTTTTGTTCAAACAATAAATTATTCATAAAAAACATTATTTCCATTTAAATTTATGTATTCTAAATATAAGAATGACTGAATATTATACAAAGTGTTACAGCACAATATTATAAGCCAGTAAATCAAAAACTTTTATCTCCACTATATAATGATAAATTACACACTTTACGATGTTTTTATAATTGTTTTTCTTTTAATTACTTAACATAGTCGGAACTGACATTTCCCTCTTTACTTTGCAGGTAATATTTACCACTCAAGTAGACGTTAAGAGGAAACCAACTTTGAATAAGGTCCAAGACTTAAGAGTCTTTGGAGATATATATATATTTTTTTTTTTTGTAAATAACGTTTAAACATCAGACATCTTATTAAAAATAAAATAAAATATAGGTATTTTATCTTTATTAAAATATAATGCTCCTTTTATCATAATATTTATCTCTTGTATAAATCTAACTCACCAACTTATACCATAAAAATACGTTTATAGACTGGAATACTTTATAGAATTTTTTTTAACATTATAAGTACCCTAAAATAATTCAACTATAAGGAGATGGGGTAATCTTCACTACATTTGTTTTGTTTAATTTAAAATATTTATAATATTATTATCATTGGACTTATAATTTTCAAAATTATAGTAGAATTAAGTTTATTAAAAAAACGTTTCGTACTTTTAATAACAAATTCAAGTATAGCTTTTAATCATTCTTATTCATAACACACATATAATTTATTTTATCTTTAAAGTCAATATTTTTTAATATTTACCACTTTATAGAATGTTTCGCACAGAAAATAATTAAGAGGATGTCAGCGTACTGTTTGTTTTCTATTTCTCGCCCACATGTAAAGTAGACAAAACGCATTCACGCAGAATCAATTTTTTGACGTTTTTGTATAATTATAGAATAAAAACAAATATTACAAAAATTAAAGAGGTTTTTTATTTTCGAGGGTTTAACATATAGGTTTTATATTTTATTTTTATTTAACTTAGCATTCAAATTTTAAAATAAAAAAAAATATATAAATTTAAATAATGTTTAAAATTGTTTTGATACAATATTTAGATAAATTGATGTATTCAAAAAAAAAAAATTATCAAAATTATTATTCTCTATAATTTTTGTTATAGGTGATTTTACTCTAAAATTACTTGAAAATATAAAAAAAAAAAAATTATTCTATGTAAATACGTTTTGTCTATGTTACGCGTAGACAAGAGAGAGTAAACAAACATTGCGCTGACATCCTCTTAAAATGCTCACAAAATAGTTATATTAATTTCGAGAAAATAATTGCTTTGTAAATTATCTATACTAATCAACGTCCTAATTATTATTATTTTAATGACGGTATAGTATAGAATGTATAATATAATAATACTATACAAGCACATTTGACTACGGCTTTCGAGTTACGTTCTACGAGTGATTTAGACAAACATTTAAACGCGAAATCGTACTATATATCATTTAATACGTTTGTGTACAAAGTTTGAATGAGATCGATGGAAATTTGTGATTACAGGTGGATGCGAACGAACGAGACGTCGGGAGGATGATACAACGGCACCTCAAACTGTTGAACATTGGCTCTGAGAACGTGGGCGAAGACGAACATTGACATTCGACTTAGCATGTTTACCCTTATGACTTAATAATTAATGTAAACACGATAATGTTTAAGCAAACTACATTCGTGTAATCATGTCGTACACTGATTTTGTCTTTATAATTACCAATCCACTGCTGATTGGTTATTATTGTATATAGCCAACGGCGTTTATTATCGTGAAATACATTTCAAACCGTAGTAATCAAACGTGTTGAAAACAATTTAGAATCGAAGTTTAAAACCGTAAACCACCGACGATCTCACTTTTATACACCGTTTGAAGTCATGCATCCATCATACGGTGTACCTACATCGGCCTTATCATAATGTTTTAATAATATTGTCGTGTGCATGTACGGCGGAAAACATTTCGATAGAAGTAGGTCAACGGTATAACAATATAAATAATAATACATAATAATATGATATCCGCGTATTGTCACACCGTCGTTCGGCTGGAAACTTTCCGTCTCAGCCCACTCGCCTCTTGCCCATCTACGAGTACCCACACGTAGTGCTGTACATTAGAACCAGCATATTTTAGCAGCCACAAAATAATATTATTCAAAACCAATGCCGCATAATAATATTATACATTTTTCAGACTGCTATTATTGTTATTGTATATCTTATCGTCGTCACCATATTATAATCGTTGTAGGTATATCATCATTGTCGTCGTCGTCATTATTATTATTATTATTATTATTTTTGTTGTGATGTAATAATAATATCATAACGGCGGACAATCGTAGAAATAACAATAATGTGTATAAATAATATTAAATGCATTTATGTGTGCATATGTAAATATATATCATTATTATTATTATTATTATTATTATTATAACGTTATTATTATCAAACCCGGTAAATTATGTAAAAATATGTTTATATAGGCAGTGTCGCGGTGGGGGAAATTAGTATATATGTGTACACGGGATGTATTACATATTATGGTGGCGGTGGTGGCGAGACGGTACCTATACGTATTATATTATTATGTGCATCACCCATTCAGTCAGACGTCAGTACTCGGTAATGGTCGTGTTGCCCACAGGTATGGCCGTTCGCACCGTAGCGTCCTTTGACCGGTCGTCGTCACGTGTTGTTCGGTACCGGTTCGCCGACGCCGCCACCGTGTGCGTCGCGCTTTGCGTGTTATTGGCGCGGACCACCGCCGCAGCAGATCTCAAATCGTCGTCCAGCGTTTGCGCTCCAAAGGTAAAAAACATGTAAAAAATCAAAATTCCGCGAAAAATCACTGCCGTTCGCGAGGGGGAGATCCTCGGGAAACCTCCGACTCCCGGCAGACGAGTAACGTTTCGTCGTCGTCGTCTACCGCACGCCTTTGCCCCTCCCATCCACCCTTAGACCCTCGCGCGCGGGACGTATGACTGGTATCTTACATTAAATTTCGATATCTACGATCGAATTCCGCCGGTTTATACGCTTTTTTCGATATCATAGACGGTATAGGTATATATATTTCAGTCGTACGGTTCGCGTTTACGAGGATAATATATCATCCACGCCAGGGCGGAGGGGCCGTCATCCATCATTTGGGCGATAGGGATCGGGCGGCGGAGACTCAAATTTTCGATGATCCTGTATATTATTTTGCGTGTTACGCGCGTAAGTGTGAATATGTGTGCGAGAGTGTACTGTTTGCGGTGCGGTCTAAGTGTGTAATCGTTGAAAAGGACGTGTCTCTTTTATGAACCAATTGAATACTGTACACGTTACACTACATAAAATATATATAAATATACATATCTATATACGGCATGCGTTTTATGCGTGTACAACGTGGTACACATGTATATATGTATAATATGTAGACCGAGCAATAAAAAGCAATTGGTACAAACGTACGTACGCGCGTTGGCGGGCAACAATAAAAAATGAATGCGAACTAGTGTACACGAAAAGTTTTTGTAATTTTATCGGAATAACTCGTGGAATGTGGCCTTTGACCCAGCGTCTGTGACGTTTTACGTTTTCACATTATTATATCAAAGGTAGTCCTATAGGTAATATTGTATTGTCGTAGGTATGCACACGTCCGCACGCGCTCGTACACGCACAAAGTATTATATTTAGTATGATAATATTATTTGTTTTAAATCACAACACAAGAGTCGACGGCTAACGAGTACAATGATAGGTATGATGGTCGATGTCGGCGACGACGATTGATAATAGTTTCATGTTGTACACTTGTACTGTTATGAATCATCGTCGTTGTGCAGGTCATCGATTTGAACTTATTAAAATAATATTCAAAATCAATAATAGTTAGAAGTTTAGAAGTCATATAATGTATACAATTTGCATATGGACAATTACGTAGTAGTTTTTATTTTAAAAACTATAAATACCTACCTAATATCCAAGACAAAACAAGATGTGTATCTACCTAGTACCTACTCGCTACTCTCCGCCATACGATAACGGTGACCGTACAAAGTATAGGTAATATATATATATATAGTGACAACGTCAAACAGTTCTTGTATATATCTAATTAAAAAATAATATCGTTCTCATCTATGTTTCTTGTTCTAGAATGCACTTAAAACGATATTATTTATATGTATTGGGTGAATCGGTGACCGGCGGTGACCCTGTGGTACTAGTAACTAACCTGTTGTACCGGTATGTTATTCCCCGGCTGATTAACGATTAACGGCCTAATAAAAGTATAAGTACTTAGGTATGTAAAGATGTTCTTACCGTTTGTTATCGTTGGAGCGTATATACAATACATATAAACACAATAATTATTGCACATGGACTAATATAAATTTATCATCATCACGTCTTAAAGGTTATCGAGTTGGCATTGACCTTGGATCTGTGAATTTTTTTCTACGTGTATTGCTTTTTTTAAAACTCTGAAATTTCACGTTAAAACGTTCGACACTACCGAGTTCAATTTTCTAAAATAACTGTTGTCGTTATAAGTTGGTATAATATCTTTATATATAAGCGTTATTGAAAATTGAAATTTTATTACAATTTTATCAAGTCAAGAACTATATAGTCAAATTTAATAACTAATAATGTATATGTTTCACAAATTGTGTTTATTGATGTTTGGTAAAAATACAAGATTATAAAATATTTCAATTCACTAATCAACAATATTTATAATAATATAATACTATAAAGGTATTGTTTAAACTGAAAAAAAGAATAGATTTTTAAAACCAAGAAATATTGGAACCAAGTTAAATACACGTTGTATTTTGTATAAATTTTAAAATGTATTAATAGTCATTGAGAAATAGATTGTAGAAGTATGTTCGATTGTCCATTGTCACATACTCCCATTATTAATTAATACGATGCACAAGAATCACCATAAATTAAAACATTAAATATTTATTGATGCAATTCAATAATGATATTATTGATATTATATAGAAAAATGTATTTATAACTCTTGTTTTAGTCATGCAACGCAATCGATCCAAATAAGTTAAACGTACATTTGATCGCTCACACACATGATGACGTGGGATGGCTGAAAACTGTGGATCAGTATTACTATGGCAGTTGGTATTCTTTTAATTTAATTTAATATTATAATTAATTATGAAATTAAGCAAATTTTAAAATAATTTTTATTTTGAAATTGTTATCGCTTTTATAAGTGTATCTAATTTAAAACAATCAAACGATATTATTTTTTTTTTTTTACATATTGACAATATACACTTTATTACCTATGTATAAACTATAATATGTAATTGAAACGATAAAATAAATATTTTAATTAGAAATTGAAACATCTATAAAAACTGTAGTTCATAAACTATTATAAATATAATACAACTAATGCACAGTAGTGATTTTACAATTATTTTAATATTTACTAAAGTCGAATCTTTATTGTTCAACCAATATTTGTTTGTTTTTACATTTAAAATTTTAATAATATTTTCCATTTATTATGCTAATATAAAATGTAAAATACTGATAATCACATTATCATTGAACACTATTTAAATTGGCAAAAAAATACTGTTAACCTCGAAATTAATGATAATATTCAGTAGGTATTTATATATCCATTCAGTAGTTAGATTTAAATATCTCCGAAATAAAACTAAATAATCACGTTTTTAGGTTCAAAGTAAATTAATTAAGATAATTTAACATTTTAATTAACTGCATTTAATTCATATTATATTTTGCCTATTCTATGAACAAGTTTTAATTAAAATTATTTCAAAAGTATAACCACATTGAATTTCTGGTTAAATGTTTTTAGATTTTAAAAATTGTATTTAATTTATTCAGCGCAATACTATAGCATAATATTATTATTACATCTTTTATTTTTAATTTATATAAAGTTTGTATTAATATTATCATAATTCAAAGTTGAATTCACTTAAGAAATTTATGTAAACATTAAACACGAACAAAACTAAAGTTGTATGATACAATGCCTTACCTTCTTACTGAAAATCGTTTTAAAATAATTTGTGAACAGATCTATATTCATAGTGATAAGTATATGGTCTATTCAAACAATATTAAATCGAAAATCTTTGATTGGTAACATTATTACTTGTTGATTAGATATTGTTATAAATGCATAATTTTTTACTATGCGATTTGATCATTTTTTATATACTTATTTATGCTATACAATTAAGACATTTTGTTATTTCAGTAACATAGTTTGGTTAATATTTTAAAACAAGATTGAATAAAATTTCGTTTTTTCGTAAACTAATAATAATAATAAGTCACAGAATAAGCACGCTACATTTCTTTACGTTTTTAATTTCTCCGAGTGATTAAACATTAAATCTCTTGAGAGCAGTTTGACTCACAAGTAAATCAACACGGGTTGTAAAAAAAATACTTAAACCTTTAAATAGTAAAAATACTTATCTAGTTGTATATAATGAAATTCTTTTGCGGTTATTATTTCAGTAATTGTTGATGTACTCCTAATTAACTGGTCCAACCATACAAGGTTATGTTTAATACTTCCGCAATTTTTTTATAAACGATAAGTGGTTTTAATACATTACTAATACTTTAAAAATCTAATAATAGTTTAATAATATATTTTAACTTTAATTATTATTTGATATGAAATTTCATGGACGATAAGTTTCACAATTTATACATATACCTAATATACTTTGATTTTTTAGAAAAAAATTTAAATGATAATTGTTACAATAATACGACAAAATTAATCATATTTTAGTGGTAACATATTGTTTTTATTTAAAACAACTACAAAAAAATATTTAGATTATTTTTTGAGATATTTTAAATTTTAAGCAAAGTGGTTAGATCTTATGTTTTCATCATGGAATTTGTCTAAATGAAGTTTTTGTTTAAATTTTTTTGATAACTTATGAATTATGTAGATTGTTAGTCCAACTAAAAACATTTCCATTGATTTTTTAAGTAAATATTTAAAGCTAAAAATGTTAAAATGTAGCTTTTTCATACAATTTTTAAATTATTACAAAATGCTTATTATTTTTTATTTTTTTTTTTTATTATTCATCATAATTTTCAAAATATTAAGTTTTAAAGTAATTAACATAATTATCTATTTTTTTTAAGCTAATAGCTTGTGC